GATGGTTCAAACGACACCGGTGTAACTTTTACTAAGTGTTACACTGTTCAATAACTTTATATTAAATGTGAATTTTATAAATTCAACCGTTAGATTGAAAGTTCTTTACTCTTAGATCATATATACAAAATTTTATATTAATCCAAGATGATTTGATACTTCATTCTTATAAAACAAAATTGACGTAATATATTTATTTCAAAATATACTAAAATATGAATACTTTGATTACCCTCAAGTTGTTGTTCAATTTTAATAAAATTTGACATACATATATAAATTGATATGAACTTTCAATCTAACGGTTGAATTTATAAAATTCATATTTAATATAAAGTTATTGAGCAGTGTAACACTTAGTAAAAGTTACACCGGTGTCGTTTGAACCATCCTCTATATATATATATATAAGTAGTTTATTTAATAGAGATTGAATATATTTTTGCTGAAAAAATATATAATCTAAAAATTTATACACAGTTATATTTTTTTTTCTCTCTTTTCCCTTTTTTTATCACACGTTTATAAGAATAGTGATAAGGAACATATTTTATGAATAAATCAATCATAATAAATAAGATAATTATTTACATTATAAATAAAAGTACAAGAACAAATTTTTTTAATCAACAAAAGTTATAATTTCCGATAACAATAACAGGATTCAAATTTAATAATATTGTATAAATAATACTTTATATTGAGTCTCTAGTTTTATTTTGAAAAGTTCTGTAAACTCTTAATTATCCAAGAGGAAAAATACCAATCTGGAAGATATGATTTATTTGTAATAAAAACCTACACTAAGTACATTGTTTTTTCTAGGAGGAAATCTTGTTTAATTTAAGTAAAACAATGAGAAGTTGATTTCGGTGAATAAATTAAGAAAACTTATATGATTTATTTTTAGGATAGTTATGAGTTTGAGGGTTAAATTTAATATAAAAAAAGTAATATTAAAAAATAATCTAAATATAATTAAATATAATTTTGATAAAATTAAGAAATATTTATGTTAATATTTTTTTTTTGCAAAAATAGAAAAGATTACAAAAATGATCGCAATAAAAAATGAACCTAGGTCCTCGTACTTCCTCACCCAATTACTAGTGGTTATATTTATGTTCATATTATACAAAAAAAAAATTCATACTTTAAATGAATTAATTAATGAGTATATATCTTTTATATTACTAGTCTAAAAATGCTAAAAATTTGATGGACTTAATTTGTTTAAGAAAAAAGGTGTGAAGAAAAGCAAAGCTGACGCGAGACGCATGGGCCATATACAAACAATTCCAGCGGCAGAAACCTGCAGACCCCAACAACAACAACAATACAATACATCACCCATTTACCAACGCCTCCTTCTTTCACACACCATTTCTCTCTCTTTCTTAATTTCTTGCATCCATTACTATTTATTTTACGTGATTAATGATTTAATTATTGTTCATGACTGTTTGCTTCAAATAAAAAAAAAAGTAAAATAAGACTAAATTTGGCACATATATTTCTGACAAGGTATTTAAATAATGTTGGCATTAGCAAAGAAAGCAATAATAACGCAACATACTAGTTGCGAAGAAAAGCGATGAAGGGAAGCAAAGAAAAAGTGTGTGTCTCTCTCTTGGACTGATTCGCTTCAAACGCATCTATCTCAGGCAAAGTTGGTGAAAACAAAGGCAAGGCAAGGATGATTGATGATGGTGTTGGTGTTGGTGTTGGCTAATTCTTTCTCAACACACATGATTTCTTCTGATTCCTTCTCTTTCTAGCCATCTCATCTCATTTATATATTTTTTTTTTCTTGTTTTGGTTTGGTCCACCCTCGTATTGAAGACTCCGCCTTAGCAATAGGAGCATCTTTATTTCTCTTTCATTCTTCTTGTGTGTTTCTGATTATTGCATCGCTCACACCTTTAATTCCCTCATCCATTTCTCACCCTCTCTTCATATTCTCCCAACATGGCCGTTCAAGCTCAATACCCGTCAAATGCACTCTTCCTAAACAGGTTTCCTTTGCATTCTATTCCTTCTTCATTTCAATTACTCAAATCTCAATCTACCCTCCTTCTTATATTAACTTATGCATTTGCAACAGCAAAAACGCCCAAGAAGGACATGACTATTCATTGCAATCTCCGCCAGTAGAACTCCTTGATCATCATCAATCCCATATGTTATTCAACAAGGGAGGTACATTTTTTATTTATTTTTTGGTTTTTTCTACCCACCACAACACTACATGTCATGAAACTATGTGAAAAATCAAAAATCTAATTTAATTTTTTTGATCAAAACAGGCACTAGTTCTCGAAAGAGAGGAAGAGAAACAACAGGGATAGCTCCGAACTTTGTAAATTCATTCTCTTTGCAACAATCCCAATCTCCACAACTCATAGACCTTACCCAACTTCATAATCAAAATAATGTAGTCTCCACCGGGTTACGCTTATCGTTCGGAGACCAACAACAATTGCATCATCAACAACAACATCATGGGTATCACTCCAATGCCTTCGAATCTCTATTATCCGAAGATTTGTCCTCGCAAATCAAACAACAGCGTGACGAAATAGATCAATTCCTTCAAGCCCAGGTAATTTTTTCTTTTTAATTTATTAAAAAATCGTTCTTTTATATTCCTATTGGTAATTTAAAATAGTGGGTGGAAATGAATAGACCAATTCCTTAAAGCCCAGATACTTGTTTTTTTTTAATCTCTGTAAAAATTTGTTTTTTTTTTAATTATTATTAGTAATTTAAAATAGTGGGTTGGGATGAATTTATCAGGGGGAGCAATTGCGGCGGACTTTGACGGAGAAGAGGCAGAGACATTATCGGACGCTGGTGAGGACGGCGGAGGAAGCGGTGTTGCGGCAGCTAAGGGAGAAGGAGGCGGAGGTGGAGAGGGTGACGCGGCGGAACGCAGAGTTGGAGGCACGCGCGGCGCAGCTTAGCATGGAGGCGCAGGTTTGGGAGGCTAAGGCGAAGGCGCAGGAGGCGGCAGCGGCGGCACTGCAGGCGCAGCTGCAGCAGGCGATGATGGGTGATGAGGGCGGCGGCGGAGGGCTATCGTGCACCGGGGGCGATGCGGAAGATGCAGAGTCGGCACATGTAGACCCAGATCGCGTGGGGCCCAAATGCCGAGGGTGCGCCCAACGGTTAGCTTCGGTCGTGGTGTTGCCGTGTCGCCACCTCTGCTTCTGCGCCCAATGCGACACAAATTTTCGGGCCTGCCCAGTTTGCCTAACCGTTAAAAATTCAACGGTTCAAGTTTTTCTATCTTAGTGCCAATTCACAGGCATGTCCATCTCCAACAAATGAAAAAAAAAAAAAAAACTAAAATCTCTTAAACAATAATTTTTTTTATTTTTATTTTCTCTCTATAGTCTCTATTTTTTTGTTGTTGTTGTACATGATGATGAGAAACTTGAGTAATTTAGCCGTGAGATTTGAGAATTTTTATAATTTTTTTTTTTTATGTTTCTTGACTGGAACAAGGCTAACTGTGTAGGTGATGTACATGGTTCGTGTATGGCCACATGGTTCGTGTATGGCCACATGGGAGTGACTTTTTATTTTTATTTTTATAATTCTATTGAATTATTTATTATATTCTTTTATTGGATAAATACTTGACTGTGCTGCCTTTTCAAATTCAGGATGTCATTGTGTTTGTGTTGTTGTCTCCATTTTGATGTCAGAATCATCAATAATTTCTAAAAGCTTAGTTGAATTTGGCTATGGATCCTATTTGCACAAGGATTTTTGGTTGGGTAGCGTTGAATTATGATACATTAAAATTTGTTTCTCGTTTCACTAGAGCATGAAGACTGAAAAGTATACTTTATAATACAGTTTTACATTTTTTTTTTAAATATTATAAAGCTCTACTAGTCGGTTGATAATAGAAGATGGTTTGGATTGTCGGAACGAATTGATCTTTGAACGGACTCAAATGGCTGTCTATATTTCATGGACTCCACTGTTGAGTGGAAATAGTTTAATGAACATTAAAATATTTTTGTCATTTTAAATACACGGTTTTTGAATTTTGATCTTTCATTTTATGATTTGTGTACACCTTTATATAGATAGAGTAACACGAATGTGTTTTCAAATATTTATTCATAATAACACATTATTATATCACTGTAAACAGACAATTGAAAGTTATTTTATTTTGTAACTAAAAAAAATATTTGAGAAAGACCCACTTCTTTACAAGACTCAAAAGCTACCAACTCAACAAAAATTTACAAATTATTAACAAATACTTCTTATGTACCGAAGATAAGATAATACTTTTAATCTCAATTATAATTAGGAAAAAAAATAGTTGAGATCTTAAACGATTTGAATTTTTTAAAATCTGATCTAATCTAATATGTTTAATAAAAAATTAAATTTAAATTTTTAAAAATTTTATTTATATAAAAAGATCATGTATAAATTTATAGAAAAATTTATTAGATATGATAGATTAACCTATTTATTTATATGATATAATAAAAATTAATATATAAAATATATATATATATATATTAAAAATATAAATAAATAAATTTATAAAAATAAATTATCAATATTTAAAATGTTTTTTATACAATTATATTTTTATTATAGATTTATAAGTTTAGGATGTGTGCCTAAATGTACATCAACATACATGATTACACAGAAGTTGTTCTTTCAATAGGAAATGATTTAATTTTCCTCTTATATATTTTTTAATTTTAAATTTAAATAATATTAAATAAATTATGTTTTAAAAAAATAATTTTGTTTATTTTTAAAAATTAAGTTTATTGGTCTAACTAACATCAATAATTTAAATAGATTTTTTAAATAAACTAATAGGTCAGGTCAAACTTGAAAAAGGCCACATCAAATCAATAAAAAAAAGTCTATCATAAATAATAGGTCAAACTTAAACTTTAATTTTACATAATAGATTTAACTTATATATTTAAAGTTTAGTCTGATCTGTCCTATTCACATTTCTTATTATCAACAATATATTATAAGAACAAACAAATTTGATATGATTATTTTTAATTAATTCTATTATAAAATTAGATTTTATTCTAAATATCCCTTTACTTTTACTTAAAATATATCTTTTGATTAATATAATAAATTATATGAATAATAATTCAAAATTAAGCTCTTTTTCATAATTCTCATATCGTCATAGTTTTAAAAATCGGATCGGTCTTTAAACCGATTAGGGTATTGGGTCAGTGGGTCAAAGGTTAAATTGATGGGTCACTAATTAAACTGTATGACCCGATTTTTATTAATTTCTTTTAAAAAAATAATAATGTTAAATATATTTTATACTTATAAATTTCAATAAATTCATATTCTTTTAAATTTCAATTTCCATCTTATTTAAAATTATCTTTATTTTTATTTTATATAAAGAAATACATAAAAAAATTACATGTTAAATTGTATATTAATACAAATTAAAAATATAAATAATATGAACATATATAATATACTTGCAATTGATGTCACAAAATAATATATGTAATATCTACATAGATATTATATTATTAAATATATAGTTTAAAATTAATAATATACTATAAAAATTATTTAAGTTGTATATATTACAAACAAATACATTATAACTATTCATTTTTATGTTTAATAAGACTCTTTGTTTTTTCATTAACAAGATTCAATTTCCATTGTTATTTTTGTGGTTTGTGGTCCCTTAAAAAAAATAAAAGAAAATTGTGGTTGAACTGGTTTAACCTACCGATTCATTGGTCGAACCGAAAAATTAATTAATTCACTATGATTTGAAACGGATCAAATGCATAACCGATCCAACTCAAGGCTCAAACCGCCTAGATCATCAATTTTCCGGTTCAACTGGTCCGATCCGATTTTTAAACAGTGCATACCGTGTTACTACCTCGTTGTCAAAAAAAAATTTGTTTTTTATTTAAGTAAAGAGGTCTAAGACCCAAAATTATCGTCACAAGTTAATATTAATTAACTTTATGTATTACCTTCATTTTCAAATTTAAATAATTTTAGTTATTTTTCTTTTACATTTTTTAATTTTGTCCTTTTTTCTAAAAATATTTAATAATTATTGTGTAATTCATTTTTTTATAAAAATATAAAAGATTACAAATATAGTCGCAATGAAGATTGAACATAAATTCCCGTGCTTCTAATTATTACAAGCCTTCCCCACCCAACCACTAAACTAACCATAATAGTTATTATTGTGTAATTCATGAAAATATATTTGAGTATGTTTTATGTGATTTTATTTTATCAAAATTTGTTATTAATAAAACATATATTTTCTATGATGACAACAGACAACTGCAAGATTTTTTTAATATCAAATATTTTTATATAAACATCCAATACAATTTATTTATTGTTACATCATCTTATTTATAATATGATGAAATAACGTGATATTTTTTTCTATTAAATGTGTATAAAATGACAGCATGATTTTTTATTATTAAATATTTATATAAAATATTTAATTCTGATCATATATAAATTAATAATAAGCTGTTAACAAAATTAATAAACCCAGGAGGTAGAGAGTTTAAGTCATGGACAATAATTTTTTTTCTAAATTTTAAGGGATTTTTTTTTTTGGTGTGTGCCCGTAATACTATAATAGCAATTATAATAATGAGATTAAGTATTTGGAAGGTAGACACTTTTATTAGTAAAATAAATGTTAATACTCATGGAAATTGGATGAGAGATGAAAATATTAAAATAATTAATTGTGTTTTTGAAAAAAAAATCAAGACTTAGAAATTTTCATTATTATCATTGTAATATTTTTATCAATAAAAAATTACTTATTTTAAACAATTTATCATTTTAAACATGATTATCTAGTTTAATGGATGAGAAATTTTTTTTTCACTTCACACACATATAATTTAATAGATTTTATTAATTAACAACACACGTGAATCAGCTTTAAAAGATTATTATAATTTAATAAGTGTTTTTGAGTTCAATTATATTACACATTCAAAATGAGAGTTCTAAAATTTGTACTCATTGACAAATGAATTAATGATGCATTTTAAGGAATAATTAAAAAAATTAATTAAATAAATAATTATTAATTATAAAACAAGAAATATTTCTATTTTGATTTAATATAAATATAATATTAAAATATAAAGACAATGAATAAAAATAGATATTTTAAAAATATAATTATTTTTCTTATAACTCAGCAATCCGAACAAAATCAACTCAATTTTATTTTATTTAGTTTAATTTAAGTTAATTAAATTTTTTTTCAAAGTTTAAATAAACCTACTAAATATAATTAATTTAAATTTAATTTTATAATAAATTCAAAGAAATCCAACGCATTCACACTCCTACAACTTCCAACTTTTTCATATCTTCCCATAACCACCCAAAATGTGGAACTACATAATGGGACACGACCACTTTCTCGTCATGACTTTAAACAACTGTTATTTATTTATTTATTTAAAATCCAAATATTAGACACACTTTTAAAATCCAAATGTTTACTCAACGACACGAATAATTGGTACAATGTGTGTATTAGGCTTAGGCACACTAGTTATAGCGGTAAAATAATTGTATAAAGAAATCATTACAAAAACTCAATATAAATGCAGAAAAATATTTTCTTATCAATAAAAAAATTACAACAACCACAATAAAAATTAAAATTCTCATACATCTATTCCAATTTCCATCATTAAGTTGATCATTATAGTTCAACAAGAAAAAAACTTTTAACACAAAAAGAAAATTATATTTATATTTATTATAAAGAAGACATTAAAATATATAACTATTTTTTATTGTCACTTATCAGATATTAAAAATTATTTTTCATTTTTTCTATAAAAAATTACCTACAAACATCTAATATCTTATTATTTTAATTATTAAAGACACAAAATTTAACTTTACTAATAACAACATAATAAAGATATAATATTTTAAAGATTTAGATCTTATAAATTATCTAATTTACTTTAAAGAGAAACTGTTATAAATTATAAAATTTACTTTAAAGAGAAACTACTTTAAAAAGTCAAGTTTTTCTTTTAAAGAAAAAGTATCATATATTAAGGAGCTTGAGTAGAAAAGTTTTGAACGTAAGGCACAAAGCAATCAAGCTTACTTTCAAAACATTTAACGGTCATAAAAGTTAATACTATTTACTTGTCGTTTAGTGCAAGAATGCCGCGTGGATGCCAAGATATTAACTTGAGCAGAAAAGCCCAAAAAAGAACAATAAAAGCCCATGTGGGTTTGGAGAACACGTCTAAGGAACATTGGCCCCATCACAATTCTCCATTTCTTGTTCTCTGCTATTCTTCTCAGATTCTTCTCGATCGAATGTTATTTTTAAGAATATAGTAAATAATCGTATATACTTACACATACATACACAATATGATTTCAGAAAAAACCTATATAATTGACTTAAAATATCTTTAATTATATTAATAAATTATTGATTTAAGTGAAACTAAACTGAATCCTTTAAATAAATTTCCATGTTCATGTTTTGTATATGTAAAAAAAATGATTGAAAAAAACGATTTCACTGAAAGTAGTTAAC